TCGTCTCTTCGTCTCCTCGTCCTCCTCCCTCCCTCCCTCGTCTCTTCGTCTCTTCCGTCTCCTCGTCTCCTCCCACCTCCCTCGTCTCCTTCGTCTCCTCGTCCCCTCCCACCCTCCCTCGTCTCTTCGTCTCCTCGTCTCCTCCCCCCAACTCCCTCGTTGCCCTTGTCACGCTCGCAGTCCCCTTCTCCTTCTGATCATCAGTAGGTCCTCGGATGGTCTTCCGGTCAACAAGGCGTGAGAGGCGACGAGTGACGATGCGTCGTGAGGAGGACGGGAACGACTTGGATGCAGAGCGTGTGATGTTGACGATTTGTAAGAAAGACGAACAATGAAGGCGGAAGAACTTCTCATCTTTCTTCTTCCTCTTGGTTTCCTTGTCATATCCTCTGCATCCACGTTCTTGCGCTACACTTCCGCTAGACTCTTAGCCACTTTTTATTGACAAACTTGGCAGTTTCTACACGACAAAAGCATTCAAGAAATTATTATACAACATGGAGAGCACGAGAGACGTGCGGGAGGTCACAAGAAAGAATAAAACAGTTGTGAAGAGACTTGTCATCTTTGAGATGGAGTGACAAGATAAAGAGGCCTGCGGGATCAACGTCAGCCTGTCTCATCATGTTCACAACCATCGTCATCATCATCACCACGACCACCACCAATGACAAAAACAACAACACTGTCCATCCACATATCACAAAAACATGCAACTTACAAGACGGTCTTGATCGAGAACTCCTCTACTTCCTCGTCAAAGTTCTGGAAGAGATGTTCCAGCACTTCTATCTTGTGCTTGTCCTTCATCTCATACTCCCTTACTGTGAAATTCATCGCCTCCCCACAATCCCTCAGGATCTGCTCCGAGCACTCCACTGTCGTGCTCACGTTCGACTGCATTCCCATGTTCCCTTCCTGCGCTGCCCCCCACACCTCCTCGTCCTCCTTCATCAGCCCCTCCTTAATCCTCTCTCCCTCCTTCCTCCTCTCCTCCTCCTTCTTCTCGTCGATAGCCCCGAAGTCTCGCACAAACCCGCTCTTCCCCCACATCTGCCGGAAGTACTCGGCTGAGAACTCGTGTCCGCAGGGAACGCCAGTGAGCTCCATGAAAGAGGAGGAGGCGACGGCTCCCTCGCTCGTACCGAGTTGCTCCATTGCCATGACCAGGTCCACGTTCCTTCCGAAGAGATGATAGCGCGGCATTTTCCAGCCCACCACCTGGCACTTGGTGAGGAGACAGCGGAGGAGATGGAGGGAGGAGACAGAAACGAAGGAGAAAGGAGGAGGGTGAAGAGGAGAGGGGAGGGAGAGGGAGGAGAGAAGAGTGAGAGAGCAGGGAGGAGGAGAAGGGCAGGGGATAAGGGGAGGGGAGGAAAGGGGAGGGGAGGGGAGACTTACCCCTCCAACCACAGGCCCCCAGTGTAAGCCAATCCGCATCTTGAGACGTTGCCCAGAGAGGGTTCGCAAGCCTCTTGACCTCAACCGCTGCTGCATGATCAGCGCGACTTGCATCAGCCGAAGCGCGTCCTCGCGGTCAGCAGGATGATCGAGACCGACGGCACACCAGTAGGCTGCAATCAAAGTCAGGCCAGACAAGGTGAGAGGGAGGGAGAGTAGGAGGGCGAGGAGTATTGATCGGTGAGGGAGGACGAGGGGTATCGAGATGGGAGGACGTAGACAGCAGTTAGCAAGACACGGGAGAAGGGAGGGGAGGAAGGAGGGAGGGAGAGCGGAGTTTTACCATCTCCAATGGTCTCGATCTTGGTTATCCTCCACAGTCGGCAGAGCGTGTCAAACTCAGTGAAAAGCTCGTTCACGGCCTCGAACAGCTTCTTCGCCTCCAGCCCCGACGACAGCGCAGTGAAACCCTCCACGTCCGCCATGAGCTGGCATACCGACGGCAGGCTCTCCGAGAAGAAGAAGCTCGGCAGGATATGCAGGTCGTCCATATCCATTCCCCAGCTCCCCGCCGACTCGATAATCGCCATGGTCTGCGCCTTGAGCACGTGCGCGGGGATCAGCGTCTGCGCCGCCATCTCCACCCTCTTCTGCAGCGCCTTCGCCTGGATCAGCCAGCCGAGCTGAAGCCTCTCATTCATCTCAGTCTGCCACAGGTTGTAGATGGCGAAGAGGGCGGGGAGGAGGACGTAGGCGTAAGGGACCTTGAGCAGGTCGACGGACCCTGAGCCGCACGTCTCGAAGCCTCCTGACGTATGCACGGAGATGCTTGTGAAGAAGTCGGCGGTGAAGCAGAGGACGAGGACGGTGCCCACCGGAAAGGCAGGGAGCATCCAGAGGCCCTGAACCTGCGGAGGAAGTGTGAGGGGGACGAGGAGGGCAAGAAGAGCAAGAGGAGGCGTCGGCTATGGATCATGTTGGTAGGGAGGAAGGAGGATGGAGACTCACATTGAGGCAGGTCAGCAGGAAAATGCGAGGGTCCCACATCATCAGGAACCAGGTCTGACTGTCTCGGATCAGCTCCATGTCGGGGACGAAGTGCATAGCGACGATGAAGACAGCGCCGAAGGAGATGCAGGAGAGGGAGGAGAAGAACGTCTGCCATCGGCTATAGACCTTGGTCTGACAGCGGAGCCAGAACAGTCCGTAGCAAGCGACGATCTGAACCAGGAAGGCGAAGAAGGCGATGTAGCTGACGACCCCCGCCTTGTGGCTGCGGACCAGCGACCAGTCGAAGGCGATGACGGTGAAAGTGAAGAAGAAGGTGATGAGAGACCCTGTGAGCTGCTGCCCACGGATCGACTGATTCCTAAGCGTGACGTAGATGTCCTCCAGCTCCTCGTCAACGAACCTCATCGACAGCGTCTTGAGAGGCTTCTGCGCTTGCTGGAAGAGAGTGTCAACTGGGAGCTCCTCCACTGCCTGATACATGTGCTTGTCCCTCTTGACCTCCCTCGGCATGAAGGGAGACTTCCATGAAGCCTTCTGGATCTTAGCGACGAGGTCATGGGAAGATCCTTCATCCGACGAGCTGCACGTCTCTTCCCAGTCGTCGCTCCCCTCCGTGTCATGTGAACTGGACCGGGGCAGGGCGTCTGAGTTGAGGCGCTGGAGGAATTCTTCCTTCTTGTCCATGGAGTTGCGACGACGATGGTTGCTGGTATCAGCCTGAGCCTCCTCGTTGGACTCGAAGATGATGTTGGACTGCATGAAGCCCTTCGAGCCGTGGAAGCTCTGCGAGAACTTGTCGATGTCGACGATGTGCGAGAAGGCAGACGTCCTGAACATCTGCCATATCGTCATCTCCCCTTTGCCTTTGACCTGAAGGGCAAGGCATAGTCAGCACGACCTCTCCCAATCACAGCAGCAGGCTGCTGCCACACTCACCTCGACCTTCCCCAGCCTCTTCATGACAGCCTTCTCCCGCTTGAAGCTCAACGTGTAGGCTTCATCTGCCAGCAGCTCCCTGGTGCACGACGACAACTTGAGCAGTTCTGCTGTCTCGTTGGAGAGGATGATACTGCAGTACGCCTCTCTGTCCGGTAGCTGCATATCCCAGTTGGCCTTGCTCTTCTCCCCAGCTGCGATGCTCTTCATCCTTGCGGCCGTGTTTACCGTGTCCCCGAACAGACGGAACCTCGGCGTATCTCTGCCTGCGATCCCCGCGAAGCAGCAGCCGCTATGGATCCCCATCCTCAGTCTCACCTCCTTGCCAGATGACCAGGTCATCCCCTTTACGCATCGCTGCAGTGATAGGGACAGGCGGGCCAGCACCTGAGCATGCCGCGAGCACTTGTCGGGCACACCGGACGCCACCATGTACTCTGCCCCTATCGTCTCCACCTTGAACGCGTTCCTGTGCCGATGGACCTCAGAGTCCATGGCGCGGAAGAAGGAGTTGAGATCTTTGACCATCTCCTCCGCCTTCAGCCCCGAGTCCTCGATGTTCACTCGCACGAACAGCACGCTCGTGCTTTCGTGGTAGTTGCCGAACTCGTTCGACTCCAGGTTCTTCTTGGAAGTCACGTTCTCGCACGTCCTCCCCAGCAGGAACTCAGCGGCTGCTGAGGGCAGCATGTGCTTGAGGATAGACTCGAAATGCTTCCTGTAGAACTTACTCCTTGAAACAGAGAGGAACTGCAGCCGATAGCTTTGCTCCCTCCTCCATGAAACGATCATTGACACCACCCCGATGCCAACGGCTGTCGGCAGCTTCTCCATCGTCAGTACACAGTCTGATCCCCCGAATAGGGCGATCATCCCCGTGATGGTGAAGCAAGACAAGATCCAAGTTGCTGTGTGGATGAATCTGAACTGCATCAGCACCCCGAAGCATGCAAGGAGCCACTCAACTTGCGAGATGCTCCATAGAGACACCTGCCCCCAGGGATACATTGGAGCGCATGCCATCTGGACTTGCATGATCACCACAAACCACATGAAGTTTTTCTCCATGATCGCCTTGTACTTCTCATCTTTCTGCATGACAGGGCTGTGCCTGTACACCCTCCGCAGCAAATACTTGAGAAAGGAGCAGTTCTGGTCGGCGAGGCACAGGAGGCAGAAAAGTCCAAACAGCATCTCAATGAAAATAACCACCACATGCTTCCATTTCTCGTCCCTCGGCACTGTCGGGATCAGGACAGCAATCTTTCCGCAGCACCACATGTAGTCTTCCTCTGAGATGGATAGCTCTATGATGCCGAGGACGAAGCGCAGCGTGGTCCACAGGAAGCTCACCAGGCAGGCAATGCGGATCCTTGGCAAGCAGTAACTCCAGTACTGAGCTCGGAACTCAACCTCTAGGTCGTCATACAGGAATCTCATGTTGAAGCTGCCGCTTTGAATCTCCGAGTCATCGCTGAGGAGACAGCTCTTGGGGCTTGCTCCTGGTTTGTTGGAGTTGGCACGAGGACGAATGTTCTCGATGGGGATGGGCAGAATGTGACTGTCGTCATCCGTGCTCTCAGAACCGGAATCATGAAAGTGCTTCATGGGCACTGGCGCTCGACGGCGCGAGACAGTTGGCGCCATTTCAGCCCACAAACGTCTCGAAGACAATCAGTCTTCCTCCGACGACTGCAAGATCTGGTCAACAAGGAATCTCCCTCACTCTTCACTTGTGTGCATAAACTGAAGAAAAGGGTCTATTCAATGTTTGAGAGGAGCTACACGAAGCTGATGGAGAGGCTAGAAACATCAGTCATGCTCGTACTCGCCTTCTTCTTACTCCCGCTTCTTTCCACCATCGTCCTTGCGGCGCGCGCTTGGATGGTGCTCCAAGGGTATCTTGGGAGGGTAGGGTGGTCAATTGCGTACGACATCAGGGGTGGGGGTCAGAAGCATGATAGTTTTTAACAATCAGGGGTCGGGTGATCGAGTCCATGACCCCTTGAATGTGTACGAGTACCGGTACCTTCACCAGGAGATTACGCTTTCAAGTCCACAGTGGGGTGAAATTGCACTCAGGTATCAAGAAGGGTGGGTAGTACCGGATATTCAGGAAAGGAGGGTGGGTGTGAGAAGCAAGGGATGATCATGAGGGTGGGGGTGGGTGGAGAGCTCTCAACTTGAGTTAAAAGTCAGGACACTACGTAGGGGTGGGGGTCCATGGGTACCATTTCAGGCCGTGGAATTTGCCTAGGAATCAGGGGTCCTTTCTCGCCGACAGCGTATTTGACAGGTGGTGGGTAGTATGGACGGTGGGGGTGGTGGGTGGGTGGGGTCACCGGAGATTACGAGAGATTGGCGTCGACAACAGAGAGCGGAAGAGCTTGAATGTATCCGTGAGCACCCCTTTTAAAACAGATGTAAACTTAAAATGGTTTCCGCTATTATCATTAAAACAAATTTAAAAATCCGGGGAGCATGTATTGAACTCTAATAATAGGAGAAATTTCATGAAGCGGTGTTTGTTTAGTTAATCTCGAGACCGCTCGTCTGAGCAAGTACGGGTACTTTTCCGTACAGTAGGTGGATGTGAAGTAGGTAGGGTGATCTTACTTGAAGCAGTGAAAACAGCTACAACAAAATGTCGACCTGTATTTTTGAAGGTGGGTGCTGGTTCCCAATCTGAAGAAATATCGGTAGTTTCCTGATTTTGTCCTTTAAAATTTGAACCTTTCACGTTGAAATCTGAGTATTACTTCAAATGTTTTGGTACGTGAATCCTGTCCTCCCGGAGGATCCAGCGGTCATGAAATTGCAACGATTGGGACCTCAATCATGATCTTGTGACCTTGTGACTGACCTTGTGACCTTGTGACCTTGTGACCATCGACATCCGGGTGGGTACAACATGTACCGGTGGTAAAGTCGATGGATATGCTGTAAATCACCGGTGGCAAGGCGACATGCTGGAGATGGAGGGGGTGGGGTGCAACTTACAAAAGGACTTGGGATTTTATTCGAAAGTTGAGTAAACCTTAAGAAGTTGGACGCCCTCGTCCCCCACATTGGAGGGTCCAGCCTGCTGGCAATACTTTTTTTATTGTCAACTTGGCTGTAATTCTATAGTTTATAGGTCAAGTTGACTAAATTTACGAGTATTTGCAGTTTCTTTTCAATATCGGGATATAAACCGTGACGTGCCAGTGCTACAACCTCTCCACAAAGTCGCAATGGTGAAAAATGGGGTCGGCAGGACAGAAGGAGGACGGAGCGACTAGACTGTCAATAGTGATGGTACAGGGTGAGTGGGAGGGCATGTGAGGAGAGTGGGGAAGGGCTAGCTTTCGACTGAGAACTCCTCGTCCTCGTCCTCGTCCTCGTCCTCATCACCAGCCCTTGTCGTTCTGCTTCCTGCTCATTCATGCTCGCCTTTCATTTGTTTCTTCATGATTTGATGACAAGGGACAGTTCTTGGATCTCTCACAACACTGCAGACAACATGTCGATGCCGCATCCCATGCGGAGACTGGGAGGAGTCTGAGCGATGCGTCAAAGAGATCCTCTCCGACCCCAAACGCCTCCTACCCGTGCGAAGAAGTCTCCTTTCATCACCTCCTCCGGCGAGGGAAGCTCGAAGCCGGAGCTCACAACCTTGCTCAGAGGATGGAACAGCGGAGACGGCATCTGTGAGCTGGTCACAGCAACCCCCGCGCAGCAAGTCCTGCTCACCTGCTTCCAGTCCTCCCAACTCCATCCTTCACACTTGTCCGGCTCCATTAGCCTGGCAACCTGCATGCACGTCAACGGAGGAAGCTGAGAGGGGGGGGCAGGGGGGGGAATGGGGGGGAAGAGAGGCTGTAGTGGGGGGTGCTATGTCAGTAGCCTACCTGATCCGATGAGCATACTCCGATCATGATGATGGTGACGTAGTGTTTCCCTTTAGCGAACACGTCACTGTCTAGGAGCAGCAGCGTGTCACGCTACCGTCCTCTGGCATGTGATCGTTGGTGACAGCCAGGAATTGTGCTTTCTGCTCAATAAAACCAAGGTCACAACGCCCCCATAGCTAGCTCCACTCATCATCATCATTATCATCATCATCATCATCATCATCATCATCATCGTGATCTCCATCATCATCATCATCGTAATAGTTTCTCAACCTTCAAGACTATCCCGGTCTCCTCCTCGCACTCACGAATGGCGCAATGCTCCCAGGACTGCCATGTCCTTCAGGTACAATCCTTGGCCTCCTTCCCTTGTCCTCACCTCTCCGATCTCAAGATGCCCCCCTGGAAGTTGATACCTCCCCGCTCCATGCGACCCTGCGCGTCTGGAGAGAGGCGAGAAAAAGTTACTCGCAGATAGAGTGAAGTGCATGAGGGAGGGAGGGAGAAGGGGAGGGTGGGAGTGAGAAGGGGAGGGTGGATGGGCGAGACGTCGAGGACTGGGAGGAGGAGAGTGAGCATTACTTGCCCACGAGAACTTTTCCTGGAAGGTCTTCTTTGATGACTAGCACACCGACGCCAACCCTCGTGACCTGGTGAAATCCAGAAAACATTACCAACGCACCTGTTTCCCTTCTCTTTCCTCCTCGTATTGATCTCATTCCCTCCCTTTGCCTTTTCCACTTTCCTTCCTGCCTCTCGTCTGCTCCCCTCCACTGCTCTCCCTTCTCTTCCCAGCAGCCTGACCTCTCCCCTTCTCCTGTCTTCTCGTCTCCTCTCCCTCATCAACTTTCCTGTGCACCAACCCTAGTCCTACTGACCAGCCCTAGTCCTACTGCTCACCGCTGTACCAGACTTGGTTGCATGACAGCACGACCGAGGGCCTTTACACGTTCCTGTATCATCCTCGTCAATGAAGAGAAAAACAAAATTTCGACATTCGGAACTTTCTTTATCATTAGCACCAACGTCACCCGCATCATGATTATGATCAAAATCGTCGTTATCATCAACAGCAATCACACACAACAGCAATAACAAACAACATATTCATCGTTCTTGTAATCTTCACAGGCTCATCCTCATCCCCCTGATAGCAACCTGGCGGCGGCATGTCGATCTCCTTGAGGTTGGAGAGTTTCACCTTCTTTGCAGGCCCTGCAGCTCTGTGTCACACCAACAAGAACTCTGGAGCCTCTCCCTCACTCTCAGCTGCTCCTCCAGCTTGTTTCAAGCTGTCGACGAAGAGGTTCTCGAACTCGGCAGAGTTCACCTGAACTTTTCTGAGCTCCACTGGATCAGCATGAGACACCTCGGACCTCCAGCAGGATTTTGCAGTTGACGGGTCTTCCGGTTTGACCGAACCAGTCAACGACCTGCAGGAGGGTTCAACGTCGGCCAGGCAGGAAGCTTTCAAGATCTCACAGACTGTCCTTTGGTCAATCTCCCCTCAGTCTCTACATCCACTCGAGCGTCTCGCCCTCTATCAAGCACATCAGCAGGAACAGAGGGGGAGAGGAGGAAGAAAGGGAGGAGGGAAGGAAGGGAAATGGGGTCAGCGACAGTGATAGTCACAGAGAGAAGAATAGATGAGAGGAGGGAGAGTAGGAGGAAGGAAGGGAGAGCGGAAGAAGAGCGATCCCGATGTGACTCACTTGAACATGCTCGGACGAAGCATGTAGGCAACACAAGCGGGGTCATGAATCTGCCGAGCAACAACCGGTCACGTTTGCCATCTCAGTCTGCTGCAGCAAAAACAGGAACGGAAGAGTGTCCCAGACGGAAATAGGCAGCCACGTAGAAGGAGGAGATGGAGTGGCAGAACCGGCCAAGGTCGCTGCTGGAGCCATCAGTTCTGCTGCTGGTGCGACGTGGACGTCGGCACAACGACCTGTCAGGGAGATTTCGTCGCAGGGACAAGAGGTCGAGCTGATGGGTAACGTCGAGGGGAACGAGGACGATCTCTCTGAATCCAGCGACAAGCACCTTTACCGTCCTCGTCATGCCCTCGCTCAGCCTCCTCCCCCTCCCTACCTCATGCGCCGCCATCGGATCCTCTGCAAAGTTTGCCTCAGCCGATGGCGTTCGGTTACCTGCGAGAATGAAGTTTCACGTCTGACAGTGTCGACTTCTCTTTTTGAGTGCCGACCACTTCTCTCCCCTCCCCTCCCCTCCCCTTCCGTCTTCTCCCCTCCTCCCCTCCCCTCCTCTCCTCTCCTCTCCCTTCCCCTTCCGTCTTCTCCCTCCTCCCCTTCCCTACTCTTCCTTCCTCTCCTTTTCCTCTCCTTGCCTTCCCCCCCTTTCTCTGAACCCTTGCTCCTTTCCTTCCCCATCACCTCGTTTCTCCAGACAGGACCCTCCCATGACCACCAGGCTCTTGACATGCTTGACAAGATCCGGATGTTCCCGCAGGCAGAGAGCGATGTTCGTCAGCGGGCCCAACGTGATGATCGTGATTTCTCCGCTTGCTTGCTTGCCTGCAGTCCACACACGACAAGAAGAAGTCAAGACAACCGTGAACATGATGATGCAGATGATGATGTTGATGGTAAAGTTGTTCGTATGACAATGATGGGAAAGTTTGTAAGACGATGTTTGCATCACGATGACAACGACATTGACCTTGTCCATGATGTAGCATAACGGGAAGTTACAAGTCTTACATCTCTCGTAGATGAAATCCTTCGCGTGTCCGTCTCCAAACTTCACGTCCTCCTCCTCTATCACCGGGCGAGTTTCTCCCAGCCCATCACTGCCATGCACCTGCGAGCAGCTGGTCAGGTCGCAAGGACGGGGAGGAAACCTCTCACGTCGACCCCATCATGGGTTGCTTCCTTGAAGTGGACCGACTCCAGCGGCTGCGGCGCTCCCAGGAAGACCGGGACTGAAGGGTCCGCTCCTGTCGAGGTGACGGGGACGTGAATGTCAGAATGAAATCAAAGTCTGCTCTCCCTCCATTCACTCCTTCCCTCCACTCCCGAGCTTTTGCATCGCTCTCCTCTCCTTCTCTTCCTCTCCCTCCCTCCCTCTCTTTCTTTCCTTCTCCTCACCCTCACTGCATTCTTCTGATTTTCACTGCACCGTTTCCTTGCATATACTCCTCAAGGCAAGCCTCGCCCTCCAAACCCCTCATCTTCTCTTCATCTCTCCTACTTGCCCGCCTTCCTCCCTCCCTCCCTCCCTCCCTCCTCCAAACTTTCACATGATCGAGCTAAGAATGTTCTCAGAGCTCGCCTCTGCCTACCAGCTGCCCGTAGACAAACGTGAGCGTTCTGCCCCATCTGCCGCATGTTCTTGGAGTTCCCATGAACGATCGTGACGCCCTCGATGTGCAGCCCAGCAACAACAGCCAGGATCAGCGCCAGCGCATCGTCAACACCCTGAGTGCCGATCAGACAGGGAGAGCCCATGGAGGAGGAGGAGGAGGAGGAGGAGCCCATGGAGGAGGTTCCTCAACGCTCTCATCACACAAAGCAGA